AAAAGAAGAATGGGATAATACTGATAAGATAAAATATGGATAAGTATATCATAATGACTATATGAATAAACTTGTCTGTGGGAGGTATGTTTACCCTACCACACCGTGTCTAGCTTTTCCTCCTGCCTTGTGTCTATTCATAACAGTTGCAGGTCCTAGTGGTTTTTTAGTAAATGAAGTGTTTGTTAATAGTTTAGTTATGTCACAAGTAGTGACAGTTTGCTTCTGAAACTTGGTACATATCTTTGAGATTGATGATGCTGCATTGCTGCCAAGTTTCTGAACTCTACATTTATGGGTTCTTCTTCACATGGGCTGTTTCTACGGTAGTATATTTTTATCTTGTAACATACCTTCCCACCTAATGGGTTTCTTCTCCTGAAGAAGCTTGTTGGACTTCATATTCACCAGAATTGCTTGTTAGTTTGCTCCTCTAGTGTCATTCTTGCCCTAGTGAGGTGGCTTCTGCATACCAGGGTTAGTCTGACTTTGCCTTCCCTATCACACAGCTTGTATGTGTTGAATGAATGTTTTTCAGCCACTTTGTGTGGTTCTTTCAAATTAAGCTCAAACTTTTTCTTTGTTTTGTTTCTTATCAGCACATATTCTCCTTCCTGTAGCTCAGAGTGTTTGATTCTCCTGTGATAGTGGATTTCATTCATTCTGAGGCCCCTTTTGCATTGGATATGGCTGCTGCTCAATTTTGGCCCAGTTTGTCTAGTTCTCTTGCCCTGTATTCTGCTAGGTCCTCAGGATTCTTTATATTCCATAGATCCAGTTTCTGGGTGTCTCCTGGTGTGACTGGATGTCTTCCATACATCATGTAGAGTGGGGAGTATCCAATTGTGGCATGAGCTCAAATTCTGCAAGCAAATAGTGCCTGATTAATAAACTGGTCCCATTTGTGTTTTGCTCATTTGCAGTTTTGAGTAAGCATTCTTCCAAAGAGTCCATTGAATCTCTCTATGGCTCCATTAGTTCTTGGATGGTAGGCCAAAGTTTGGAGGTGGTTAATGTTCAGAAACTCCTGGTAGTGCTCCAGGGATCTTGCTATGAAGTTGGCATCTATATCTGTTAGAATTTTGGCTGGGCAACCATAGTTCATTACTATTTCTTCATATATGAACAAGGCTACTACCTTGTAACTTGCTTCTCTGAGTGCTCTTGCTACTGGCCACTTAGTGCAATGGTCTATTCCCACCAGGATCCATTGTTTTCCAGAATCTATTTTGGGTAAAATTCCAATAAAGTCATGTGCCCATCTGTGGAATGGTTCAACTGGCAGTAGTGGCTACATTTGCAAGTTGTTCTGGTGAGCATTTTGGGTGAGCTGCCACTCTGGGCAGGTGCAGACTAGGTGCTTAATGTGCTTTGACATTCTTGGCCACCAAGTGTTAGTAGATACTGCTTCTGTAGTCCCTTTGACTCCCAAGTGTCCAAATTGTTGGTGGTACTTGGCTATTAAGTCTATTCTCATGGCAAATGGTATATATGGTACATTTCCTGCACTGGTTTTCTTGTAGATTACTTCTTGGCTTTGGGTGAAGTGTCTACTGTTTTCTGTCACTTTTCTTTGAATTTCTGGTGTAGTTTGAGGTGGAAAAGTTCCTGACTCCCAGTACTCTGGTAGTAGTTCTGGCCTGTCCTTTTCTTCTTGTAACATGAGTGACTTCAATATGGGGTTTCTGGAGAGGACATCAGTAACATTATTCTTCCTGCCATTGAGGTTAACAATGTCAGAGTCAAAGGTTTGTAGGTACTCTACCCATCTTGCTACCTGTATGGAGAGCTGTTTCTGTGCCCATAAATGTCTCAGGGTGGCATGGTTAGTTCTGACAGTTACTTTGGCTCCTTCTAGGTAACATCTACATGTCTTGAAGCATTTCACAATGACATAGAGTTCCTTTTCATGTAGTTGGTAGTTCAGTTCTGCTGCTTGTAGTTTCTTTGATACATAGGCAATGGGGTGTTCCCCATTGATGTCTTGTGATAGTACTCCTCCAATTGCAAAATCCAAGGCATCTGTTGTAACTAGGAGTGGTTGTTCAAAGTCAGGGAAAGCTAACACTGGAGTGTTGCTCAAGCAATCCTTTAGCTGTTGTAAGGCTGTTTCTTGCTTCTAGGTCTTTAGGTACAGTTCCATGTTTTGCAGGAGCTGTGTCAGTGGAGCTGCTATTTTTGAGAAGCTTTGTTCAGCCTTCTATAGTAGCTTGCTAGCAAAGCTGGCGTCTGCTTTGAGTGATACATTTACCACTCACTGGAACCTTCAATACCTAGAAGCATTGTTTCTGAAGGGATGCTTGCATGACAAATCACCTTTTGTCCGCTTCTATATTGTAGTGGGGGTGAATACCTCTTGGTAAAACAGTGTCAATAGCCTTTCTATTGCTGGTGAGATATACTGCTGGCATGGTTAGATAAGCTAAGAAGACTGCCATTAATTAGTCTGCTTATTGATGTGTCCCTCCTATCCTATCTACTATAAATCAAGGCTATCGAGATCCAATTTCTGACCAAAAGACTACCATCAACAGTGTCAAAAATGCATACTTGGGGAATCGAACCCCGGTCTACCGCGTGGCAGGCGGTAATTATACCACTAAACCAAGTATGCTACGTTGACAACTTATCCCAAAATGAGCATCTCAATTATTAACAATCACCATCACTATCAAGGGGTTAGGGGTTCTGTGAAAGTCCAGATTCAAGCCTCATGATTACAAGGCAAATATCCTCCTATCTTGCTATGCTACTGCTGAGCTGTCCAAGCATTTAACGGAATTCACAAGATGCATAACCTTGCTAGCATGCTTCCTTTCAAGAGCCTATGCTGCATCTCACTATTAGGTGGAAAAGGCAAGTCATACAACCTAGCGTTGTGCTACAAATATAATCCCTCATAACTTTATTTACGAGATGCTGTTTTGGTAATGGCAAAAAGTTATAGCAGCGAGAGGTTTCGATCCTCCGACCTCGGGGTTATGAGCCCCGCGCGCTTCCTCTGCGCTACGCTGCTTATGATATACACAAAGCTCACAAATTACACAACTATGGATTGCCTACCCACTGGGTAGAAGCTATCATCAAGCCACCAATCCCGCAGAAATTCATAGGCCATGCCCATCAGAATAAATACACCGGTGCAAAATTATAAAAATAACATTACTCCGCTTTGGCTTAGCTCTTCTCTAAATGGGCTGAAATTTATAAAATCGATTTGCCCAATAGCACCCAGTAAGATTCGATCTTCCCAGGATTATAACAAATCAAAACTATGGTGATCTTGATGGATTCACCGTACTGTACTGCGTTTCATATTGATCTGGGTAGATTTACCATGAACAAGTAATGAAAGTAATTTACTTCTGGTTGGGCAGATATCCCAAGAAAGAGTGTAGGCTTGGGCTACCTATATTTGTATCAGGATGGCTAAACTAGTGCGGCAAATGGCACCCAAGCCTTCAATGTTTCCCAAAAGGGTAGGCATGTAAAGTTCAACCTTCGTCATTGCTCGCAAGCTGCCATCATTTGACGAACATCCCATTATTAGTTAATAGTCCATCTTGCCAAAAATTACGATAAAAAGTGGGTGTATTTGCACGTACATTTGTTGAAGTAGTGATGTTTTCCATGATTTAGATGTATAGCTGATCGATTACACATTGAACCTCGGAAATCTGACATCTATAAAACTGCAAGTTGGGACCACAGCTACAACTATCAATCAACAGATCCATCCATTTAGCTTCCAAAGCACAAGCTCACTTCTTTTAAGCACATACATATCAAAGCCCTGAAGATGCGTCTTAGTCTCACCACAATTGTCTCTCTTTGCCTCCTTGTTGGATTAGGCGCAGAGGCAGCGCCACATTGTTCCAAGGGGGAGTATCAATGCTCTGGTAATAGCTTCCTACAGTGCGATAATGGCAGATGGGTTACTAAGCAATGCGGACCTGGAACTCGCTGTGTGCAAAAGAGCCAAACAAGCGTGTACTGTGACTATGACCACGTAGCAGCAGCAAGCATAGAGCGTCGGGCACCTAGTGAGTGTAAACCAGGAGCTTATAAGTGCACAGGAAAAGGCTTCCTTCAATGTGCCAATGGTTCTTGGGTACGCAAAGAGTGTGGACGTGGAACAAAATGTGTCCAAAACGGACCAAACGCTGTCTATTGTGACTACAGTGCTAAGGTTGAACGACGTGCACCACATGAATGCAAGCCTGGAGCCTATAAGTGCAGTGGACAAGGATTCCTTCAATGCGATAACGGTAAATGGGTCCACAAGAGATGCGGGGCTGGTACAAGCTGCGTACAGAATGGACCAAATGCCGTATACTGTGACTATGCCAAAAAGGGCTCACACCATGGTTTGGAAGCAAAGACTCTTTTAAGCTCTAGCCATGGCTCCGGCTCTGGCTCACGTGGTGAATGCCGTCCAGGAACCTACCAATGCGCTGGCCAAGGCTTCCGTCAATGCGACAATGGAAAGTGGGTCCATAAAGATTGTGGACCTGGCACTGCATGTGTACAAAACGGAGACTATGCTGTTTATTGCGACTATGCCAAGCTTGCTTAAACCCTTTCTCAATCCAAACACTTGATTTTTGCCCTAGGTAGTATCCGCTACAATCATTTGCATACTTTTCATCGGAAATCTGAGATTACAGATAGCTTAGCCAAGCTATGTTGTAGACAAGGATTATAGATCACTCATTCATTCCAACCAGTTCTTGGTATTCCTTACTCCACGTTCGTATGTACATTCATCAGCATACTTGAAGTCATACTTCTTCCCATGTTTATGGTGATAATGATTACTATTATTACACTATTGTTTCTCGTGTGTATATATATATATATATACACGTTGTCCTCCTTCCTGGCCGGGACATTGGTAAAATGAAAATAAATATGTTTCTATTGAACTCTCAATTGATATAGCTTCTGCTGTTGGTTTGCTCAAGAATAGTGTACAAACGCAAAAATGAATTCAAGGTGAATGCGTTAACTGGGAGTCGAACCCAGGCCAACTGCTTGGAAGGCAGTTATTCTACCGCTATACTATTAACGCTTGATGGCTATTTATGGCCTCCTATTAGACAGGAAAACTCCTGAATTTTACAGCTGAAATTACGGTAGGAATTAAGCAACAAGTTTCATTGAGAAATTACCAAAGGCGCTTGATCAGGTTTGGAGTTAGTGTAGGTAAGTAACATCGAGGACACTTTGGCGGAGTGGTTAACGCGGTGCCCTGCTAAGGCATTTCCCTATGGGAGCGCAGGTTCGAATCCTGCAGGTGTCGTCTCTTTTTTATTTTTCTCGATTAGCTTGGCATACTTGCATGATCAACGTTTGAAAGCATTCAGGACCTAATGCAAACCCACCATAAGCCAAGATATTTTTCTTCTTCTGATATTGTAAGCTCTATCCTTGTCGCCTTTGGTTAAGTCTTACGCCACCAAGAAATAGAAAGTAAGCGCTATAGCTTTTGAGAAAGTCCTACTAGTCTAGTGGGTAAGATATTGTGACAGGAATAGAGCTCAAGTCCCTGGTTCAGTTCTCCGGTAGTAAGTGATTATTTGACTACCAAAAGGGCAGCCTTACGAGGTTATGCAGAGATATTTTATGATAAAGATCAAGGCTATTGGGTGACATGAAACTAAAAATAACTCTTTAACTAACCCTAAGTACCTACAACAAATTTGGACATTTTTATGCAAGATGCTGAGCTTGTCCGATTTGCTAGAGTGATCCTACCTTGGAGCCAACATGAGAGAATCAGTCAGCTACAAAATAAACTGGAAAGGGTGGGACAGATATCCAGCTGAGTCAATGATTGTACCCGTGCAAAAACAAACCATTGCAAGAACTAGGCTAAAAGAGAATGCTCACAGCAGGGGTCGAACCTGCGACCTTGGCGTTATTAGCACCACGCTCTAACCAACTGAGCTATGCGAGCATATACGACGACAGCAGGATTTGAACCTGCGCGGGCAGAGCCCATATGATTTCTAGTCATACGCCTTAACCACTCGGCCATATCGTCAAGTACACGCTTCTCGAGCAAAAATCAACACAACCGGTCAGATGATAGCTTTGAGCAGGAAAGGACCGGGGACCGAGAATATTAACAGGTGTAAAGGTGATCTGACCAGAATAGTGCACTGTTTTATTGCTGAAATGTTGTACTCATTATCAGCATGGCTCTCAAAATAGATCGATAAACCGTGTAAAAGACAAGGTCTCGCCGAGAATCGAACTCGGATTACAGGATTCAAAGTCCTGGGTGCTAACCATTACACCACGAAACCAACTCGACTAGGACGCATTTGGATTGGTACTCTCAAGCGCATGAGCACATGGTTCTCTGGTCTTTAACAGAGAAGCCAATGTCACCATTTGCCCGCATAGAGTCAAAACATCAAAGACAGCCATGCTCTGGCATATTCAATAAAAATTGGTAACAGTGAGATTCGAACTCACGCCTCTTACGAGACCGCAACTTGAGTGCGGCGCCTTAGACCAACTCGGCCATGTTACCAGCTTGTACACAAACAGGCAATGTCATAACACTAAGCGATAGCTGATAACATATCCGCATAGCTTAAGGGGAGGGGGGGGGGAAGAAAGGATACCTTCGCTACTCATGCGGCATCTGTTCTCTCAAGCACAATATTATCCAAGACGTATTTGCACCCTGATTGCCACATTTCTTCAGACAGATCTTCCAAATATAATCTACGGATTTGTATACTATGTGAAAGGCAAAATACAATTATAATGCTAGGACCTCCTTAGGTAAATCTATATATACATTTTCCAAAAATGTATGCTCTTTAACTAGGGCTTCATCAAGGGGGTCTAGCTCAGATGGTAGAGCGCTCGCTTAGCATGCGAGAGGCACTGGGATCGATACCCAGGTCCTCCATGGAACTTTCTCTATTTTGCAGTAGATACATTTTGCTGGTTAACTCGTTTACGCAGCGGTTTATTCAATTTTCATCATGGGTTCTCTTAGATTTCGGTACAATCAAGGTTCAAAAATTTCTATCTAAATAGTCGAAAAATTTCTGTAGAGCAAAACATTCAGATGTCAAAAATAAAGGTCACCCAACGTGGGGGTCGAACCCACAACCTTGAGATTAAGAGTCTCACGCTCTACCGATTGAGCTAGCCTTAGGGTTAGGGTTAGGGTTAGGGTTAGGGTTAGGGTTAGGGTTAGGGTTAGGGTTAGGGTTAGGGTTAGGGTTAGGGTTAGGGTTAGGGTTAGGGTTAGGGTTAGGGTTAGGGTTAGGGTTAGGGTTAGGGTTAGGGTTAGGGTTAGGGTTAGGGTTAGGGTTAGGGTTAGGGTTAGGGTTAGGGTTAGGGTTAGGGT